CTTTTCTTCCTTGAAACAGAGAAAATAAATTTTTGAGTTTGTCCATAGAAAATGGACTATGTGCTGGGCTACACAAGAACACTTAACTTTTTTCTTCTAATGAATGTAGAGAACTTTTTAATAACCACCCAATAAAAAGGAATAAAAATAAAACTATCCAAATATATTAACTATTTGAAAATAAAGAAAGGATAAAGAAGAAAACACAAACTATAAAGTAAAAAATAATGAAAAGGAAGCCATTTCATTTCAACAGCAAAAGTTAGTTTAAAAGAAAATATATAGTTGTTCTCTCTTCCTCCTCCTCCTCCTCCTCGTCGTCGTCGTCGTCCTTCCTCCTTCCTTCTTTTTAGCGAAAAGAATTTGGTGAAAAGGATCCCAAAGTTCTCATTTGGGGAAAATAGAAAAAGTATAACTTTCAAAAAGTTAAAGGCATGACTCTCATGGAAATACAAAATGAGCACAGGTCAAAGGTTTTTATTCATCCCATTAATGAGTAAAAAGTAAGATATTAAAACTAGTTCAAAAGAAAATATGAAGACAGATGTATACACCAGCCAAAAGAATGTTAAAGTAAATATGCTAGTAATAAACGCAAAGCTGGTTAACATCCTAAAGGGAAATAAATTTAAAACTTTAGGGTTATCTTTTCTACCAGAAGGAGATCAATCATATCTCTACAGATAAAATGTATTTGGATTGCTATGGACAAGACTTACTTGCATTACAGTTGATTATCTACAAGTTAACCTCTTCTAAATAGAAAGCCAATCAAAGGTGCATACCCCTATAGAATTAACTAATCCTTCAAGGATCCATCCAACAATTCCCAGCACTCCACTAAAAGGACATCCAGTAGTCACCTTTCTTGTTTCTACAAATGGATAATTTTTACAAAACATTCCTCCTCTGCCTGGAAGCCATTCAGATATTTAGAGATGTCAGAGACACTTCATTTTTCTCCAGAAGTCAGGTGCCCAGGATTAGGCACAGGTGTGGTATGAGCAGGAAGGTGTTTTATTTCAGTTCCCAAAGGGAGAATCAAAACCACTCATTATTAAAGCTGAGGGGATATTATTCAATGTAAATCCTATTTACCGCCTATTTCACTCTAAAGAAAACATTCATTATATATGTTCTCTGCCCAGAAAACAGGTAAGGCACTGTATTTATAGCTAGAGCAGGTGGGTGACAGCAAGAAGAAGACAAAGAACTAATCAGACAAGTAGTCACAATGTAGATTCCAAAGGCATTTAGTTTGTCAGTTTGCCTAATTAATATTGATCAATAGTTATTTTGATCCAAACACTGCACTTCTGTGTGAGAATCAAAAAATGGGCTGTCTGTTTCAGATATGAACTACACATGTTTAGTGGCAATAATTGGTCACTGATGGCTCTCATTGTAATTCTATGTCATTCTTGTGCCTTATTTTTCTTTCTGTCAGCATCCTTGCTATCTTGCTCTTTTCCTCTTTTTTTTTTTTTATTGATTTGCATAGGACCTCAGAGGTAAAAAAGAATCTTGAAATCTTCTAGACCAGAGCTGTCTGGTAGAATGTTCTACAATGATGGAAAAGTTCTGTATTTGTCTTGTTCAGTATAGTAACTTGCCAGGTCTCTCGTGAAGAAGTTAGGAAAATGATAGGGAAGGAGGACTCTAAAACTTGAAGTGGGGCTACCTCTGCTTGGACTTAGATCAAGTTGAGAATTTTGAATTCTCAAGTCACTC